GGTGTGGGGAGCAGGATTCTCCCTGAGGCCTGTGGGGTGAAGCTAGAGTAATTGGGTCTCTGAAAATCCATAATATTGCATGCAGCAAAATCTTCTAGGGGCCATCTTTTTATCTTCCTATGAAAGTATATATTTTAACCCCAGGCAGGGACAGTTCCCAGAGCTCAGATGTGTCTCTCTCAGATTGTAAAGTTGACACTCTGGGACCTGATTTGGGGTTGGGGGGCAAAGTCGAATTGATTGGGTTTCAGGGACACCCAGAATCACCTGTGAGTGAGTGGTGGGTTGTTGGGATGTTGTCTTCACAAGATTGCTTATGACTCTTGTTCTGTAGCGTGAAGATAGCTGCCTTGCATGGACGGAGTGACGGCTCTCTCCTGTGACATCCACGGTTGACTCTCTGCAGCAGTGTCTGATGTTCCCTGTGATCCTATGGGCTCAATGTGAAGAACTGAGGAGCCCAGCCCAGCCCTGTACACCAGGACCCTGTCCCTGCACTGCCTGTGTTCCCTTCTGTGGCCAACCCTTCCTGTTCCAGCAGATAGAAGGGGACATCTCCATCGTGTCACCTCCATGCTGCCCTGAGCTGCACCCCTAACTTCCCCACTGTAAATAAGGATCTCAATTTGAACTTGATTTTTCTCATTCTTGATCTGACAGGTTGATTGTCTGTTAAATAAATTATTGAGATACTTAGAGTTTGTGAAGGAAATAAGTGATAGTGTGGAGAACCTTCCAGAATCTGTGTTCATTGTGCTGTGTCCATCTAATGGGATTGTAGGAGCTGAGTGTGCACATGGCTTGTCCAGGTGGAGCTCAGTCCATTGTTGGCTGTGACATGGTCACTCCTCAGTTCTGTCACCTCCAGGCTCTCTTCTCTTCATCACTTAGGACCACATGCTGAGATCTGTAGCCACAGAGACACAGGGATGGCCAGAGCCCTGTCCTGTCCCCAGGATTGTGAGCAGCCAAGGCTGCTGAAACAGGTCAGCCTGGGCTCTGACCTGGCTGTAGGTCTTTACACCATATTCCCTGTTTATTGTTGACTTTTTAGTTTGTATGGAGGATTAGGCCTTTTTTTGTTCCTGAGAGTGGAGCTTGCCTCCTTTTCCCTTGGGCTCCCTGAGTGACAGCATTAAAATCTGTTTTTTTCATCCTTGTCCCCTCAAGGCCCAGCTAGACCACTGCACTCAGGAGACTGTAGGATGAGAACATGAACTTCAGTCTCCTGAGCTCCTGCCTCCTCCAAGACGCCTGCCTGTCATCTTCTTTCCCATCTTTCAGAATCTAACCTGGGCTGTAGGATGTTCAGAAACGAGGGATCCACAGGGTCCTTGTGCTGCCTACAGTGGTGACTCCAGGATTTACAGGCTGAGTCTTCAGATTTGTGTTTCTTTAAAAGACATGATCCAAGGACTGAAGAGATGACTCAGGGGTTGGGAGCACTTGCTGCTCTTGCAGAGGCACCAGGCTCAGATATCACCACCCACATGGTGGCTCATAGACATCCATAATTCCTTTTCCATGGTTTCCAATACTCCCTGAACACCGGTGAGATGCCTGGTGCAAATACATTCAGACAGATGTAAAGTTAATTCTTTTAAAAATAGGTTGTGGGAAAACCAGAGATGAAAATTACTTCATCTCCTGCTCCAGGTTATGGCCCCTGTGGTTTCTTTCTAGCCTTGTGACTTAGAGTCACAGGAGCCTTAGCAGAGATGTCTGATGACCAAGGCGGTGATCCTCTCTGTCATGGTACAGCCATCTTTGTCTTGTGAAGGATAATGCCTTCCTGTGCCAGGACTGGGCAAACATTCATACCCAGTAAATGTTTGATGAATGAATAAAATATAGGATCATGGATCACAGAGAGAAAAGCAGGTGGGGACAGGGAGAGAGGGCTTTGCTGAGAGGAAAGCTCAGGTGACCCTGACCTCAGTGTGAGGGGACCTGGGGCTGCACTTGACACACCAGCACTTGGCCTGAGGTTGTTTTAACAAAGGGAGCTGCTGTAGAAGAGGGAGGTGATGGGGTGAATTTCCCTCTAGAATGAAGGAGAATCCCTGCTGGAGCCAGGAGGAGGCTGAGGAGGCTCATGAAACACAGGAAGCTCCAGGTTCACAGAGCTGACACAATGTAGCACTTCCCTCTCAGGGCTAAACCAGCTGTGGTTCCTGAGGGAGAGGAGACTGTTGAGTGGAGCTGCTGGGAGCTGTGCTGGGGACTGCAGTGATGCAGCTGTGTGAGTGACATGCTCACTGGGGTGGGGTGTCAGTGGTTATCCCCGGACTCACCCGGGATCCTGTGAGTGACCAGTCAGCTCAGAGCTCACCAAGCTGTTTGTTTTCCTTGGTCTGCTGTCACTGTCTCCATCAGCAGTGTAGGAAATCCGCTCCTCAAGCAGGTGACATAGCTATGTGAAGTGTTATCTAAATTGTTCTATTATTAAGAAGAACGTGGGAGTCTGATATTGGGGTAAAAACCTGATAGATCAAAAAAAAAAAAAAAAAAAGGAGTAACAAAGAGCCGACCCTCTCTCTCCATGCCTCCCAGGTCACAAAGGACCAGGAATCTTTCTAAACCACTCCCTACTGTTTCCTGTGCCTCTCTATCACATCATATCCTTATGGCTAATTCCAGTCACCTAGTGGTTGCCTTTGCCCCCTAATTCAAGGACAGGGTGTCACAGAGATACTTAGAGGTTGAGATACTCAGAGTTTGTGGAGGAAATAAATGACAACATGGAGAACCTCCCAGAATCTGTGTTCAAATCCTGCAACATTTCCCCTTTTGTCTAAATAAAAGGGAAAGTTTTTAACTCTGACACAGTAAAACTATATAATTACCAGGCCAGGTGGTGGTGCACGCCTTCAATCCCATCACTCAGGGAGACAGGCAGAGTGAGTTCCAGGACAACCAGAGATACGCAAAGAAACCCTATCTCTGGTTTTGTCGTGGAATATCTTGTTTTCTCAGTTTATAGTGATTGAAACCACTAATCCAGCCCTACAGAAAGTACTGGAAGGAAAACTCCAACCTAAGGAAATTAACTACTCTCACAAAAACATGGGCAATAGATAATCCCACTTTACCAAAACCAAAAAGAAAAAGAAGGGTATATCCACATACAACAAATTAAAAACAAACAAGAATAAGCACTTAATGGTCCCTAATTTCCCTCATTATTAATGGTCTTAACTTGCCTTTAAAAAGACACAGGCTAGCAGAGTGGATACGAACACAGAATCCATCCTTCTGCTGCATACAAGAAATTCAAAGACAGACATTAACTCAGAGTAAAGAGCTGGGATAAGATATTCCAATCAAATGGACCCAAGAAATGAGCTGAGGTAGCTATCCTAGAATCTAACAAATTAGACTTCAAAGTAAAATCAATCAAAAGAGATTAAGAAGGTCATTTCAAACTCACCACAGGAAAAATCCATCAGGAAAAAGCCTCAATTCTAAACATCTCTACCCCAAATACAAAGACACTTACATTCATAAAAAGAAACATTATTAAAACTCAAATCACAAATAAGACCTCACACAGTTATAGTGGGAGACCTCAACACCCCACTCTCACCACAGGACAGTACCACTAGACAGAAACTTAACAAAGAGACAAAGGAACTAACAGACCTTTGTTATGACCCAATTGGGATTAACAGACATCTATAGAACATTCCATCCAAACACAAAAGAATATACCTTCTTTTCAGCACCACATGGAACCTTCTCTAAAATCGACCACATACTTGGCAACATAGCAAACCTCAACAGGTACTAAAAAATTGGAATAACCCCCTGTGTCTTATCAGACCACCATGCTTTAAAGTTAGAATTCAACAACAACTCAAATTGCAGAAAACCTACCAACTCATGGAAATTGAACAATGCCCAATTGCACCACTCCTGGGTCAATGAAGAAATGAAGAAAGAAATCAAAGAATTCCTAGAATTCAATGAAAATGAAGACACAACATATCCAAACTCATGGGACACTTTGAAAGTAGTACTAAGAAGAAAGTGCATAGCTCTAAGTGCTTACATGAAGAAACTAGAGAATAGTCACACCAGAGAGTTGACATCACAGCTGAAAGTTCTAGAACAAATGGAAGCAAATTCACCCCAGAGAAGATGCCAGGAAATAATCAAACTGAGGGCAGAAATCAATAAAGTTGAAACAAAGAAAACAATTCAAAGAATCAATGTAATAAAGATTGGCTCTTGAGAAAATCAACAAGATTGACAAACCTTTATCCAAACTAGCCAAAAGGCAGAGAGAGAACATGCAAAGTAACAAAATCAGAAATGAAAACGGGGACATAACAACTGACACTGTGGAAATCTAGAGAATCTTCAGGTCATACTTTGAAAACCTGTACTCCATAAAATTTGAAAATTTAAAGGAAATGGACAATTTTCTGGACAGATATCACTTACCAAAATTGAATCAAGAATGGATAAGCAACTTAAACAGATCTATAACCTCTGAGGAACTTAGAAAGTCTCCCAACCAAAAAAATCCCAGGGCCAGATGGCTGCAGTGCAAAATTCTACTAGAAATTCCAAGAAAAGCTAATACTAATACTCATCAAATTGTTCCACACAATAGAAGCAAAGATTCATTGCTAAACTCTTTTTTTTACAAGGCTACAATTGCCTTGGTACCCAAGCCACACAAAGACACAACTAAGAAAGAGAACTACAGGCCAATATCACTCATGAACATTGATGCAAAAATATTCAATAAATTACTGGTAAACTGAAACAAAGAACAAATCAGAAAAATCATCCACCATGATCAAGTAGGATTCATCCCAGGGATGCAAGGTTGG